GCCAAAATAGTTCCAAGAAATTCGTGGAGTGAAATACTGTAAGTTGGCCTACTGCCGTAATTCCGAAATCAATATTTATTTTCAAAAGTCTCCCCAATTTTCACCACCCACGCTCGCACACACATAATATTATATTCACACACACACACACACACACACACACACACACACACACACACACACACACACACACACACACACACACACACACGCCCGCCGCACGAAAACATTCTTTCTCGCAACAGCCCCCTTCCCTTTTATTTTCTTTTTTCCCCGTACAAATTATGTTTCAGTAGTGCTGTATGCGTGTTATTGCTGCTACTGCTACGTTCGCTAAAATTAGTTGCGGGTGGTTGGCGGGTGCTCTGGTGTGGTTTTCTCCTTTTTTCCTATCAAATATCTTTCGTCCTGACCTCTCCTCCTTCTTTTTTGTGTTTATTACTCCCTGGTAACATCTCTAATCTTTGTCACTTATATGGCCTTATTTTGTTGCAAGTCCGTAAAATTCTTACGAAAACTATAACTGTGTTGCCTTTCCCCAGCTCTAAATGATATTGCGTCGAAGCAGGTCTCTTTTCTCAAACACGAGGGGAAAGACCTTCTATACAAAATACACCCGGCACCTTGAAGTTACTTTCGTTCACATCATTGTTTGCTACATTATTATGCAAGGAAGCCTGCAGTATAATAACATTATTAAGAAACATAATGTGATATAATTGGGGACCAAAGTAGTGGTAGAATAGTACAACGTTTCCTAATACATTAAATAAACTTTGAACTGAACCATGGTTCTTTGAAGTGCTCCAATATCAAATGATTTAAGGGCATGTCAAAGAGGTTATTGTAGTACTAGAGGTCGCAGCTGTGACGTCACCCACGTAAACTCACTGTTGCTGTGTGGGCCCACTCAGCTCGCTTTGTCGCCATTTTTGAGATGATTAGAAACAGCGCTGTCACGCTGGGATACTGTAAATCACTCATTGTATGGATTCTGTGCGCACACCCAAAGAGCGTTGTTTAATATCGGGTACAAATGATTATAATAGACTGACAACATTCTAACATGCAACACTTAGATATTGGCGGTTTATCTTAAACGTTCACAATATTTTCTAAAATTATTGGCGTTGATTCGCAATGATGTTTGGCTTCATAACACCCCATCTTCTATGAACCCCTGCTGCTGCTGTTACACATGCAGTTTGGCATCGGTTCCGCAAATGAGACAGAATATTACGCCGGTCTTATTGGTGGGCAGTTACGCCTGGTTAGCGACTTTATATTTTCTCATCTCAACAGCATCGATAGCAGTTCTTTTCCGTTCAGCCAGCCTTGAAGATGTGCTAGAGTTGAAGCAGAAGCTTCATAGTAGCTTCTCAGTCATATATTTTTTTATTCCAAAGGGCCGATATGAGCACCTTGTTGTTGTCAGCGTTACTAAATCTAGACATACTGTTTGGGCGACGCACAGCAATTGATTTAAATAAAATTAGGTTTTTTATTTTAATAAAAGATCATCAAGTCCATCTCATTCATTTTTGTTTTCTGAATTTTACTCTCCCTTTTTGTCTCACCGTGTAAAAAGCCCTATTTGCATTATTTGGAAATAATCTGGCTCATTTAAAGGTAAACAATCACAACAATCCCTATCAGTACATTTTAGCGATAGGCAAATCACATGAAAAAGAAATCAACATCAAAAGACATGGCTGAGTATCATTAATCCGTGATTGAAAAGTGCTGCTGTGCACCGAACGGCCTTTTATTACTCTCCGGAATGGCAGCGCGCCCCTCAAGTTTGACACTAGTTCTATTTATAACCTCTTTGGGGCATTTTAGATTTCCATGTATTTGCATTCTTAAACCATTGTTCTATAATCTGGCTGTTGAGAACAACTCGAAAATGCATCGATAATAGTAATAATCGAGATTTCTTTGCATGTGTAATTGGCAATTTTGTTATTGGTTTGATTTTTATCAGCCATTTTCTCTTAAAAACTTTTTTTACACACATAATAATATGCGTATAACTTTTTTGTTTTTGAAGCAAATCAGCTAAAACGTGGCAGGATTACGCTTCGTTTATTGTTTAAACTTAACTTAGAACAATTAGTACGTCAGAGTTTTCTTTTGTGATTTCTCAAAGTTTATGTGAAAGAATTTAGACTGCAAATTGTATTGCACAAAACCCTTCAAGATTTCACCGTGTAAAAAGCAAAATGATTGTTGGATTAAAAGGATCTTCTGTGCATTTTAAAATCATGTCTTGCAGTATCTGCCTGCAACGGGTCAACTTATTTGGTTTAAAAACAAAAAAGTCTTAGGCAAATCCAAAATGCCACCATTTTTGAAATTTTCCCAATATGAACACACTTTTTTGTATTTTCTGAGGCACATATCATCTAATTAGCCTTCAAAGAAAAGCTTCAAGCACTAAAACACACCCTAAAACAAATAGTTTGAATTTGAGGTTATTTACAAGCACATGCTTATGATC